GGCTATTGTAAATAGTGCTGCTATGAACATTGGGGTGCATGTATCTTTTCGAATTATGGTTTTTTCCAGATATATGTCCAGTAGTGGGATTGCAGGATCATATGGTAACTCTATTTTTAGTTTTTTAAGGAAACTCTGTACTGTTCTCCATAGTGGCTGTACCAGCTAACATTCCCACCAACAATGTAGGAGGGTTCCTTTTTTTCCACACCCTCTCCAGCATTTATTTGTAGACTTTTTGATGATAGCCATTCCAACTGGTGTGAGGTGACACCTAATAGTTTTGCTTTGCATTTCGCTAATTAGCGATGTTGAGCATCTTTTCATGTACCTTTTGGTTATCTGTATGTCTTCTTTGGAGAAATGTCTATTTAGATCTTCTGCCCAATTTTTGAATGGATATTTTTGGGTTTTTTCTATTTTCTGCTTTTTTAATGAAGGTGAATCCTTTGGTTACTTGGCCAGGCTACTGGACCTCTATTTTAAATTTATTTTTACCTTTATTTTGAGCATTTAGTGTGCACTAACGAGTGTTTTCTATACTTTACATTATCATCACTTTGAATCCTCACAACAAGTCCAAGAAGTACATATTCTTACTTTAGGAAGGAAGAGGCTAAGCCCCAGAAAGGTTGAATAACTTACCTAAAGTCACACTGTCAAGAAGTGACAGAGCCAAATTTCAGATCGATTCCATCCAGCACCAGAATCCCTGAGCCCTTTGCTATCCTGTTTGTGTGTTGGGCTGTTGCTGGTGAAGGTGGAAAGCAGAAAGGCAGAAGCCCAAAGAAGGCCAACAGGCACATAACAGGTAGAAATGTCACCAGGATCAGGGTAGGGTTAGAGGAGTGTTGCTTTTCGTTCATATGTTTGTTATGATGAGGGAGAGGAATAGAGGTGAGTAGATGGGGAAGGAAGAATCTTACATCTCTCTCTGTGTTATATGACCTGGTTTTCCCCTGGAAGTGCCCTAAATAGATGATAAAGGTGTAGGTGACTCCTGAGGGCTTTAGGGAATTGGATTTCTATGTGTCTTCTAGATGCTGAGATGGGCCTTAAGACGTGATGAAGAAGACCCAGGTTCCCTTGACTGCCCCATGGGAGACCCTGTGGGGAGAGCCGGGTGGTGGAGGAAGCCCTCACCATAATCTCTGACGTTTTTACAATATTCTGGCTTGTCCTGACACACTGTTTGGGAAATCTGCTTCCTGAAAATAAATTTAAAAATGTAGATTGTGACAAGGCTGCCAGAATCTGGAAGAAAAGAGATATTGTTAAAGGAATCCAATACGGTTTAGCAAGAGACATCATGAGAGGTGGAGGAGGGAGGATAGTGTTTTCTTTTCTGGAAGGATTTACTGGTTCCTCTGGGGAACAGTTTAGGATGGAATCAGGAAGGGAGTAGGAAGGGGAAGGACTACTTTTTTAAACTTTATGCATTTCTGCACGGTTTTGATTTTGCTTTTATTAGCAAGAATATATTATTTCTAAGCTTAAAAGAAAGATATTTTAAAACACCCATGTTTTAGTTTCAGATGTGAGTAATACGCTGGTATTACCATGAAGCCACTATGACAAAACTCTTAGAGAGGTATTAGCCACACATCATGTTTATACCACATTTCCCTTTCAATTCTGTGAACAGCTTTGGTTTGTATTTTCCAAAATAGTAGTTAAATGCACTTAAGAAAGATATATGTGTTCTCTTAATCAGAATCAAAGCATGTTTACCGTAGAAATTTCTGTCTTGATGTCAGAACACTGTCACTCAGGAGTACGCTGAAGTCTTTGGAAACAGAGAGAGAGTTTAGACATTTAGAAATTAGATGCGTAAACAGGCTGTGGATGTGGGCAGCTGGATATGGGCAGGGTTCGTCCGAAGCACAAGTCTGCAGGCTCACTTGTGTCTTTTCCTGGTGTGAAGCGCTGAAGGTGATTCTCGTCTGCTTTGAGAGGCAGCTCGGCAGCCAGTGGTACTGGCTGAGCCTCCAGGTGAAGGAGATGGCCCTGAGGAAGGTCGGCGGCCTGGCCCTGTGGGACTTCCTCGACTTCATCGTACGGACCCGCATCCCCATCTTCGTGCTCTTGCGCCCTTTCATCCAGTGCAAGGTGTGCTTCCCTCCAGAAAGTGACAAGCCCCGTGAACGTACTGCTTTCCAGAGTAGGGCAGGATGACAGCAGCAGTCTCGGGGCATGTGCTATATAGCTAGTCAGGAGGACGGGTTAATACCATGCTTGACGAGAAATCAGCCCAAACAGGTATCCCAGAGGATAAAGTTTCATGTTAGAAGTACCTTCACAGTAAGAGCTTAATTAACATCAGTGAAACTTTGCCCTCTCCCCATTTACTAACCCCCCCCAAGAAACAAAGATTAACCAGATAGAAAGATCTGAAGAATGGTCTCTTCAGGGGCATGACTGAGATCTGATTTTAAATAAACATGGGAAAAATGAGATAGTTAAAGCATGTTTTTCCTCTGAGGTCCTCAGTATTCATCTACTCTTTTATTCTTTTCATGCCTCAATTTCTGGGCGCTGTGATTCAAAACAACATATTGATTAAGCACTTCCTAGGCACTGTTCTAAGAACTTTGTATGCGTTACCTTATTTAATCTTCACCACCAACTATGAAATAGATACAATAATTAGCTCATTTTCAGATGAGAAAATTGAGGACCTGAGAATCTATGCCTTCCTTTCAGCTTCTGGCCCAACCAGCAGAGAACCACGAAGAGCTTTCTGCCCGACAACATATCGCTGACCAGCTGGAACGGCGTTTCATTCCACGCCCTCTGTGTAAAAGCTCCCTCATTGCTGAGTTCAACAGTGAACTAAAAATTCTAAAAGAGGCAGTTCACAGTGGATCAGGTAAGTATGCAAGGGATATTTTCAATTTGTTTTACTCATGGAACTTACAACCTACAAAGAATGCCTCTTTTTCCAGGTCACTGCTCTTTTTGGAGCCAAGTATGCATTAGCCATTTCGGTACAACCGGTAGATTTGACCCTGTGATCCTTGTCAACAACAAAACAAATCAAGGGGGGTATCATAAGAGTTTAATTGTATTCCTTTTCTGAATATTTTATTTTCAATCTTTATTTCAGTAGTTCAGTTTTTTCTTGAATATTTAGCTGGGGGAAAAAAAACCTATTTAAATTCTTACCTTCATTTCCGTTTTGAAAAGGAGAAGGGAACTCACATTCATTGAGCGTCTGTTATATGATAGATTATTTCATAGCTGTTATTTCATTTAATCCACACAAATACCTGCAAGATGCATAACTGAAAGTCTGCTTACAGAATGAAGAAACTGAGACTCAATAGAGGTTAAATAACTTACACACAAAGACAGTGACACCAGTGAGGGGGACTTAAAACTGGGTCTGTATGATTGATGATAAAATTCAAAAATTGGAGGAAGAGAGGGGTGTATAAAAACTGGCAGGCTAGTTTACATTATTCAAAAGATTTTCTTTGGGAATGCATTGTTTACTTTTATAATTCTATTAATTGCAGGTCACCAGTGAAGGAAAATAAATCATAATCTGCCATTAGAGGGCAGTCATTACCCATAAGTAGAAGACTATCATCCATGTGGCTTTTTTTTCTTTATAAAACTTTTAGTGTTGTTCTCAATGTATTAAAGACCAAAAAACTGACAAATACAGTCTTGGTGAATTCTACTCAGGGCCATTCAAATGTTCTGCTTTATAATAAAATAATATAACATAGAACCAAGGGGGTGTTTTATAAATTTTAATCTCCAGAAAAGGGGAATAAGAACACAGTTTTAATTACGTATTCTAATTTTGATTGTAAGGTTCCTTTCAGACAATGTATTTATTACTTCTATATGCTTGGGTCAGGTAACATACATTTCTCAGTGAAAAAATGGATTTGTATTCTGCCAGCCTTGGAAAATAAAACTGAAAAACAATGACAGAGGGAGCAACATCAAAACATTTTATATTGTTAGAGATATTATGCTCCCCCAAGAAAATTATTCAATTATAAGTACATATCAGTGGCCAATTCTCTTTTTTTTTTTTCTTCCCACCATTTTCAGTTCCATTTGCTACTTGGTCCTAAGGATCATCTATCTGGGACATACTATTTGAATGACCTTTCCTTAAAAAAATATAAGTTGTCTGGGAGGAGTTTGAAGCTAGCATTTGTTTTCTTTCAAGATCCTCACCATGGATTTTCTTTGGTCTCTCAACCCCGCTAGCCTATCAAGGGAAGACATCCATCAGCACCGTGGGTACCTCCACCTCTGCTTACCGCCTGAGCCTGGCCACCATGTCACGCTCCAACACAGGCACTGGCACAGTCTGGGAGCAGGACAGTGAGCCGTCCCAGCAGGCTTCACAGGACACCCTGAGTCGAACTGATGAGGAAGATGAGGAAAGTAGGTCACCCTGCAGAATCCGGGGCAGTGGGAGGTGGGAGGTCATGTGTGACACAGCTTGGCCATGTGCATGAGGGCTTGGGAAGGATTTCTACCTTCCTGACCTTTTTCAGTTCTGATCCTCTGGTCGTTTTTACAAAAAGGATTTAAAATGGAATTGTGACTGATCCCATGACTTCTAATTCTAATGCCTGCTTTTCTATAAATTCCTTGATATCCTTGGTCATTTGATAGGAGTTCAGGCAAAAAGTAAATCTTTTTTTTTTTTTTTACATCTTTATTGGAGTATAATTGCTTTACAATGGTGTGTTAGTTTCTGCTTTATAACAAAGTGAATCAGTTATACATATACATATGTTCCCATATCTCTTCCCTCTTGCGTCTCCCTCCCTCCCACCCTCCCTATCCCACCCCTCCAGGTGGTCACAAACCACTGGAGCTGATCTCCCTGTGCTATGCGGCTGCTTCCCACTAGCTATCTACCTTACATTTGGTAGTGTATATATGTCCATGCCTCTCTCTCGCTTTGTCACAGCTTACCCTTCCCCCTCCCCATATCCTCAAGTCCATTCTCTAGTAGGTCTGTGTCTTTATTCCTGTCTTACAAAAAGTAAATCTTTAGTGACCCCTAAGTTTTCTTTGAGCTTGTGTATTCAGCCTTTTCACTAACTCATTTAAATTGTGGTTAAGTAACGAAGGGGAGCGTTTATTCCCCTTTCTCCTGGCCATCTTGCTTAGAAGGTCAGTCAGTACTTACATGACCTGATTGGGCAAGGAAAAGTGAGCACTGCATATGCTTATGACTCAGAAAAGACCAGCCAGCTATATTATCTAGAGTGTAAAGCAGCAGACTGTCTCGAGGGCATACAACCCAATTTGAGTTAAGAGTGTCCCCAGTAACTGAGGCAGCCAGGAGCTTCTAAAGATTTGGGGAAATGAGGGAAAATCCAGTTAAGAACACGCTTCCATATATATGCATAATAGTTTTAAAAAGTAAAAGGTGAAAGCTTTCATAAATACCCCTGTCATTTAATGTTGTTTTTAACTGTATCAATTATTTTCCAGTTGTGTTTCAAAGACACTCTGATACAACATTTAGAGCAAAGTGTACTGTCAATGCCTTATGAAAACAAAATCTAGATCTTCACTCAGAGCCCCTCTGTACCAAACAACAACAAAAAGCCGCACTCTGGGACTTCCCTGGTGGCACAGTGGTTAGGAATCTGCCTGCCAATGCAGGGGACGCAGGTTCGAGCCCAGGTCGGGGAAAATCCCACATGCCGCAGAGCAACTAAGCCCGTGTGCCACAATGACTGCGCCTGTGCTCTAGAGCCCGCGAGCCACAACTACTGAGCCTACGTGCTGCAACTACCGAACCCCATGTGCCTAGAGCCTGTGCTCCGCAACAAGAGAAGCCACTGCAAGGAGAAGCCTGCACACTGCAACAAAGAGTAGCCCCCGCTCACCGCAACCAGAAAAAAACCCGTGTGCAGCAATGAAGACCCAATGCAGCCAAAAATAAATAAGTAAATATTTTTAAAAAGCTGCACTCTGGGGGGGCGGTGGAAAGATGGCGGAGGAGTAAGACGCGGAGATCACCTTCCTCCCCACAAATACACCAGAAATACATCTACATGTGGAACAACTCCTACAGAACACCTACTGAACGCTGGCAGAAGACCTCAGACCTCCCAAAAGGCAAGAAACTCCCCACATACCTGGGTAGGGCAAAAGAAAAAATTAATTAAAAACAGAGACAATAGAATAGGGACGGCACCTGCACCAGTGGGAGGGAGCTGTGAAGGAGGAAAGGTCTCCACACACTAGGAGGCCCCTTCACGGGCAGAGATTGCGGGAGGCGGAGCGGGGAGCTTCGGCGCCGCGGAGGAGAGCACAGCAACCAGGCGCGAGCCTTGGCTACAAGCGCGGACCCCAGAGACGGGCGGGAGACGCTAAGGCTTCTGCTGCCGCCACCAAGGGGCCTGTCTGCGAGCATAGGCGACTATCCCCACCCCTCTTCCGGGGAGCCTGTGCAGCCCGCCACTGCCAGGTTCCCGGGATCCAGGGACAATTTCTCAGGGAGAAATGGTCGGATAGAACACTGGGTCAAATGGTGGAAGCAAACCTATACAGACAAGATCTCACACAGGCTGCTGCAACGTCACGCCGACTTCTGCCGCCGCAGGCCCGCCCCGCACTCCGTGCCCCTCCCTGCCCCCGGCCTGAGAGCGCCAGAGCCCCCGAGTCAGCGGCTCCTTTAACTCCGTCCTGTCTGAGCAAAAAACAGACGCCCTCCAGCGACCTACACGCAGAGGCAGGGCCAAGTCGAAAGCTGAGCCCCTGTGAGCTGTGAGAACAAAGAAGAAAAAGGGAAATCTCTCCCAGCAGCCTCAGAAACAGCGGATTAAAGCTACACAATCAACTTGATGTACCCTGCCTCTGTGGAATACATGAATAGACAGCGAATCATCCCAAATTGAGGAGGCGGACTTCTAGAGCAAGATCTATGATTTTTTCCTCTTTTCCTCTTTTTGTGAATGTGTATGTGTATGCTTCTGTGTGAGATCTTGTCTGTATAGGTTTGCTTCCACCATTTGTCCCAGCGTTCTATCCGACCATTGTTTTTTTTTTTTATTTTTTTCTTAATAATTAATTTTAATTTAGAGAACTCTATTATACTTTACCTTCCTTCTATCTTTCCTTCCTTCCTTCCCTTTTTGAGACAACGAATCGTCCCAAATTGAGGAGGTGGACTTGGAGAGCAAGTTTTATGATTTTTTCCACTTTACCTCTTTTTGTGAGGGTATATGTGTATGCTTCTATGTAAGATTTTGTCTCTATAACTTTGCTTCCACCATTTGTCCTAAGGTTCTATCCTTCCCTTTTTTTTTTCCTCTAAATAATTATTTTTTTAATTCAATAACTTTATTATACTTTATTTTATTTTACTGTATCTTCTTTCTTTCTGTATTTTTTCCTTCCTTCCCTCATTCCTTCCTTCCTTCCCTCCTCCCTCCCTCCCTCCTTTCTTTCCTTCTTGCCTTCTTCCTTTCTTTTCTTCTTTCTTTCTTTCTTCCTTCCCTCCTTCCTTCCTTCCCTCCTCTCTTTCTTTCTTTCTTTCTTTCTTTCCTATTTCCTCCTACTTATACTAATTCTCTCTACTTTCTCTCCCTTTTATTCTGAGCCGAGTGGATGAAAGGCTCTTGCTGCTCCAGCCAGGAGTCAGGACTCTGCCTCTGAGGTGGGAGAGCCAACTTCAGAACACTCGTCAAGAAGAGACCTCCCAGCCCCACATAATATCAAACGGCGAAAATCTCCCAGAGATCTCCATCTCAACACCAGCACCCAGCTTCGCTCAACGACCAGCAAGCTACAGTGCTGGACAACCTATGCCAACCATATAGCAAAACAGGAACACAACCCCACCCACTAGCAGAGAGGCTGCCTAAAATCATAATAAGTCCACAGACACCCCAAAACACACCACCAGACGTGGACCTGCCCACTAGAGAGACAAGATCTAGGCTCATTCATACACCACAACACAGGCACTAGTCCCC